TACTGAAGCCCATGGGGCAATGGTGGCCTAAACTAATCTTAAACCCAAGGGGGGTGCAGTATTCAAGTCCTGCCGAAGCCGACATGCGTGCCAAGTCCCAGTCCTGCCAAAGCCCAAGGGGTGAGGACAGCCTCAGCCCAGCCCGAGCCCAAGGGGCATGCAGATTACAAGCCCTGCTGAAGCTTGAGCAGCGAGGGTGGCCTCAGCCCAAGCGGGGTGCCGAGTCCAAGCCCTCTGAGAGCCTGAGGAGCAAGGGCGGCCTCAGCCCAGCCCAAGGCAAATGGAGGCATTGAGTTAAAGCTCTGCCAAAGCTGAAGGGGCAAGGTCAGCCACAGCCTAGCACAAACCCAAGGGGGGCACCAAGTCCAAGAGATGAGAGCAGTCTCAGCCCAGCCCGAGCACAGTGCCGGGTCCAAGCCCAGGCTGACCCAAGGGTGTGGAGTCTGTTGAGAGCCTAGCAGGCCTAACATGTTGCCATGGCGAATGAACATTGCGGTTAAAAACAGAATGTTGGAAGCAAAGGAGTGAACTGCCGAAATCAGCATGAGAAACACGAAGGACAGGTGATAAGCATGTGGACAGCGGATGGCCTTGCCTAGGATATTCACGTGTTGCAACCTGCTGGAAAATTACTGGGCGGAACTGAGGGGCAGGGAAACCGGGTATAAATAGAAGTATTTGTTGTGAATAAAGCATCTCAGCATCTGCAGTGATCTGAGTTGGTGCCCCAATATGCCATAAATGGCTCCCAAACAGGGACATGAAGCTTGAATTTCTTTGACATCTCAAGGACAAAATACACCAGGGATTGCTGAACCAGTGGCATAGCCCAGCTGAATGACAAAACACAAAAGGAGGCAGAAGTCTGTGCAGCGCAATCACCTCCCGGGAGTGCAGGTGAGCAGCTGGGAACAATGGTAAATGACATGTCTCTGGAACAAAAAACTGTGCTTGAAATGATGTAGAAAATTCTGCAGAAACATAACTGATGCATAGACGCATATGATCTAAAGTCATTACTAATGTGGGCAGCACGCAAGTGTCTGGAAATTAACTCCATCAACATTTATAACCCCGAGACATGGGACGTGGTAGGCATAAAACTTTGGGATGCTGCCACTTGTCATGATAAGACTGCAGCCAGTCTTTTAGGACATTGGCGCACTTTGATTGAAACATTCAAGAAACATGTGGGTAGTACTGAGAGGAACACTAGTTTCGTGTCTTTACAAAAGAAGCCTGTGCGCACCGAGGCTCAGGACAAGGAATAAAAGAAACCTGTGTGAACTCAGGCTTAAGAAGGAATATTGAAACTACATGATCTCTTGAATGCATAAATTACTTGAACATCCTATGCCCCGAATATGTTAAATGTATTAACTACCTGAATATCTGGAAATCTAAAGAACGTTTTTGTCTTGAAATTCTCAGGCGGATCGGGAAGTCTGTACACTCAGAGTACCTCAGCCAATGGAGAAATGAGGAGGGCCTCTTGCGGCCAGGAAAAGTAGGACAAAAGAGGGCTGCGCTCCTCTGTAGGTTGAGAGACCCCACAGGAATATGTCCCGTGGACTCTCCCTTTATTCAAATAAAGTTATATATTATTTTTTTTTACAGGACTCCTCTGTCTCCTTTGTGAACACTGACTCCTGGCAGCATGATTTTTCATTACAGTACTACTGGGTCAAGTTCATCTGAGCCACCCACAGTCAGACCATCTGCTCCACCTCGTCAGTGCTGTAGGGGGCTGCGACGACGACGACGATGATGATCCCTTAGACCCGGGACCTGTCGACCAAGAAATGGAGCCTGATTTATACCCTCCAGACCCTCATAACCAGTGGGAGGAAATTCGCCAAGCAGTGAAGGAAAGGTATTTAGAAGTTCTGCAAGCTCTAAAGGCTTTCCCTGTCATCTATGAAGGGAGGAGGCAGCCCCGGTGGGAAGGGCTTAATTTCACAATTGTAAAAGAAATGTGACATACAATGAAGGAAAATGGGTTGAAAGCTCCCTATGCCATGAACTTTCTACAGTCTGTCTTTGAGAGTTATATCTTAGCCCTGCATGATTGCAAAATGATAGCACAGTTGATCTTGACTAGTACTCAGTATATGATACGGTATAATCAGTGGAAAGCACTTGCTCAACAACAAGCTATGGAAAATCTGGGATGCCAGGATGGCGATGTTTTAAGAGCAGTAGGAGTGGACACATTAATAGGAGAAGGAGACTATAGTACCGCCATAGCACAAACATCATTGAATGTTAATGCGCTGTAGCAGTCAAAAAACCTTACTTTCCGTGCGCTATCTAAGGTGCCTGACGCAGGAAAAACAGATCAATCTTTTGCGACCATTTGACAGGGTTCTACCAAACCCTGTATGGCGTTCATTGACAGGCTAAAGAGCACAGTAGATAAGCAAGTAGAGAATGAGACTGCAAGGGGCATACTGTTAAAACAATTGGCAATAGAAAATGCGAATGCAGATTGTCAGAAGGTGTTGCGAGCACTGAGAAATCCCGGTCTTTTACACATGTTAGAAGCCTGCCAGAATATAGGCACTCATCAACACCAAATGACTCTTATGGCTGAAGCTTTTGCTGCAGATCAATTATGAGCTCAAATGTGTTTTGCTTGTGGGAAGCAGGGTCATATGAAAAGAGAATGCCCAAACAGAGGGAAGTGAATGAATGGGGCAAGTAACAAAGCCCCTAGAATTTGTCCAAAGTGTAGAAAGTGTAGGCATTTTGCAAGCCTGTGATGGTCCCAGCGGCACAAAAATGGACAACCGATTCCTCAGTCAGGAAACTGGAGAGGGAGTGCAGGGAGGGGGCACCTGATGACACAAAATCCTCCTCTAGTAGCAGCTCCCAATTGTTTGCCTGAACCAGTGGCCGCTCCTCCTCCCCTCCTCCTCCTCCTCCTTCTTTTGAGCTGGAGCTGAGGGCCAGATACAACCTCAGCCTAAGTGGCCACACCTGGGATGCCCATTCCAGCCCAATACCTGCCTAAAGTCCAATTGAAATTCCAGCCTAACTGCAGCCTTAAGTCAGACCTAAAAATAGGTCATCCGTTGGCAGCATCTTCCCATGCCGTCAAGTTCCCATAGCAGCATCCTCCCTCACCTTCATAGTCCTCTTGCAATCTGAGCAAGTCCTTCCTCCTTGTCAGAGTCTCTTGCTAGTGCCCTCCATCACCACCAGAGTCCCCTCACTGCCATATTCCCTGGCCAGCATCCTCCCACGCCATGAGATTCCCTTACCGGCATCCTCCCTTGCCTTTAGAGTCCCTCGAAGGCATCCTCCCAAGCCATCATAATTCCTCAGTGCTGTACTCCCTCACCATCAGACTCTCAGCAAGGTCTACCCACACCGTCAGAGTCTGGTGCCGGCGCCCTTCCCCGCTGTCAGAGTACCTAGATGTCATCTTTCCGTAATGTCAGAATCCTCTTGCAACCAGAGTCCCACAGTGAGGCCCACCCATGCCGTGGCTGTCCTCGGCGACATTCTCCCCATGCCGTGAGAGTCCCTCACTGGCATCCTCCCTCCCTGGCATCCTCCCAAGCCATCAGAATTCCTCAGCAGCATCCTCCCTCACTGTTACAGTCGCACGCTGTCAGAGTCCATTCGCGCTGTCCTCCCACACTGGCAAGTGTTCCTGGCCAGCGTTATTCCATGCCATCAGAGTCTCATGTCATCAGAGCCCCTTTACAGTCTCTTCCCTCAGCGACATCCACCCACACCGTCAGAGTCCCTTGACTGCATCCTCCAATTCCATAGGGGTCCCACGCCACTGGGCTCCCTCACCTTTCAAATCCCTCAATACCCGGATCCATCACCATTGGGCTCCCTCGCCATCTGAATCCATCACCCTGGAGATCCCTCACCCCCCAAATCCATTGCTGTCTGAAACCCTCACCCTCAGGGTCTCTCACCATTCAGGGTCAGTAAAATAAGGTTCATTTCCTACCACAAAACATTAGATGGCTTTGTTCATGACTATTAGATGAACCTAAGTTAAAATAATGAGTTTTAATTTTAAAACTTGGATTCAGACTGGAATTTGTCTGGACTTCATCTCTTTTTAGGCTGTGTTTAGCCTGGTTATTTTACTTGGATTTATATTCGATTTAGGCTGGAACTTCAATTGGATTTATACTGGAATTAGGCTTGTGCTGGGTTCAGCCAGGA